AAGCAGAAATAAAACGTCTCTCCGAGGAAAGGCTGCACAGCGCTCGTGCGCAGGCTCCCGGCCTTGCCGGAGCTGGAGGCTTTTTTCCCATCTGCCGCCAGAGGGGAGGATGTGGGATGGGAAAACGCTCAGCAAACCGCAGAAGCAGAGAAGCAGCACGAGCACAAAACGCCAGCAGCCTCTTTGGCCTTGGCGCGCGGCCAGCTTGCCCCTATTCTGCCTGCCCACTGAGGCACATGCGTCTGAAAGGCAGAATTAGCGCTGAATAGCTACGAGGAGCAGGGGGCTGCTGGGTGCCTCCGGGCTCACGCTGGCCCTCTGCTCCGTTGCTGCTTCCCCCGGTTCAGGCAGGGCAAATGCTGCTGCTTAGCCAGAGTTTGTGCCCGAGAGCAGTGAAAAGCAATGCAGGGCTTGCGTCTGAACAGAGATACTGCTGAAGATGAAAGAGTCTCGTTCAGAGGATGCTGAAGCATCAGTTTGTGAAGGGGGATATCCCCAGAAACGGGCTGGTGGGATAGGAAGAAAGGGGTGGAAGGTTTTGATCTAACTACAGGTTCACAACTTGGCTTCCAAGGGGTGGGGGGATGAGAGCTGGCGCTCAGTTTTGATTTGTACAAATGCTCCCTGTGGTTAGAGCGGAAGAGCCAAGCCCTAATCATCAGCTTCTCTCCCTAAAGGCCTTAGCTGCTTTCTGAGTTTCCCAGTTTCAGAGTTTTGTAGCTTCTGTCAGCTTTGTTAGTTGTATGAAGCTTATTTATCCTGATACTTCTTTGAAAAGGTGGTTTCTGGGGGTTTTCCTGCTTCCCTGCTGATATTTGAGCTGGGTACAAAGCTGCCCTGTGCAAATGGGTCTTCCCTTATGCTCCTGTCTCCTCAGCCAGACAGGTCCTGTGTAGGACCCCTTGGCAGCAAAGCCTGCAAGCGAGGGCCCTTGCGTGGGCAGGAGGCTGGAACGCTGCAGGCCAATGTCAACATGGATCAAACTCTTCTGCTGCGATGGATTTTCAGGTTAGTCTCATTCACAGCAGCAAACGTGCCAGTGGAGATACCCACTTTTGCCTTGCTTTGGGCAAACGGTGCCATTTCTGTTGTTTTGCATCCTGCTCCGTAAAGCTCGTGTGAATTGGCGGTGTTGGCAACATGGCAAGCAGAGCATCTCCTGCGAGAGCCTCTGCGAAGGGTTCGAATGAGCTGGCAGCCGCTCTCAGGTGGCCCTCGCCTATCTGTGGAAATCAACTCCGAGAAATCAGATCGCTTGGTTGGCTACTTTCCTTCTGTGCTTTTACAGACCTGGCTGTCACAGCAGAGAGGAAAATCAGACACTTTAAACCAGGACCAGGCTTTTTGTCCTGCACTGATAGGTCTGAGTTTCCTTTTGGCTGGAACGTGAAGGAATCCAAGTGCTGTACCAGGGACATCATGTGTGAGAATCTGTACGAGCACAGGACAAAACTGCTGCTGCGGTGGAGCAATTGCAATGCACGTATAAATCATCAGGTGAGAGATGGTTCGCAATGAAAGGACGATGTTCAGGAATACCATCAGGCTGCAGAAACATCATCTACTTTTTCTTTCATATTTTTAAACACGGCAAAAGCCTGTTTTTAGGGTGGGGGCTGGCATTGGACGCTGCTCTCCATTCCACACACGGGTGGATCTGCCTGTGGTGCAGGCAGGGAGAGTGATGAACCATCCCCAGCATCCTGCCGAGTGCGAGTGAGGAGCAGCTTCCTTTTGTGCCTCGGAGGAAGGGATGTCCCGTCCCCTCCGCCCGCGTCCTCCTGCCCCGCAGCACCAGCGAAGGGGGCAGGGGCCTCTGGGAACTGGGTCAGTGGTGGCCCCAGCGTGTGCAGCTTAATTAAGACAGGGAAAACGAGCAAGAGGGAAGGAACCCTGCGGGGCCCGCAGGAAAAGCAGCTCTGTTTGAACAAGCAGAGAAAGCCGCTTTTCCGCCTGCCCTGGCGAGCTGCCTTCTGACCTTCCCTGCGCTGGAAGGTGCAGTCCCTGCGCCAGGGAGAGCTCTGCAAGCTGCTCCGCTGCACAGCCTCGCAGGAGCACGAACTAGCCGCATCTGCTTTCTGCAAAGTACACTTTGGTGGTCTCTGATATTCCTCAGATGGGCAACAGCTTTCAGACTGGGCAAACCTCTTGCAAGAAAACCCTTGCTGTACCGGTGTGGTCCTGCATGGCTCAGGCCCTGTTTTCCTTGGCCTTGTTAGCACAACCAGATTTAAAGTCTGTCAGCAAGCAAGTATCTAGGGTTATGTTGAACCCAGAGCAAGGGAGAACCTTTGCCTTCAGGCCAGGAATTGATAAGCAACAAAGTTCCCTCCTGAAGAGCTTTGGGTCAGGGTGGATTGAATGTAAAGGCAAATGCCAATCTGGATCAGATGTTCCTGTTGGCACAGGCTCTGCCAAAACATCAGTCTTTATCAGATACATTGCTTCCTCAAACTAATTTTCATTCACCCAGTTCTGTTTCAGGTAACACATCCCAGCAAGGCTGGCAGGGGCCTTTGGATCTTGTTGTGTTGGGAGCATCAGTGCTGGAAACAGAAATGCTTGGAAATTCCCCTGCCTCTGTTTGTTGCACAGGAGCCACCAGCCCTGTGGTTGCTGTTGACTAACGCCGGAGCAGCGCGAGCTCTTGAGCGCTCTCCCCGCTCCAGCGCCGCGCGTCGATAAGTGACGTAGCCCTGGTTACACAGTGAGTCACTGGCAGAGGAATTAACACCTGGCATCTCTAAATTCCTGCTTCCTGGAGCTCATAGCCTCTTAGTGCTCTTCTGTTCCCTCTCCCAGCCTTTCTGCTTCTTTCCCCCGCTGCAGGACTTGTCACGTGTGTGATATCCAAGGTGACGGTATGTCACTTGTGACCACTGCCAGGGAAATGAGACATCTGTCTTCTGTTCCACAAATCTACACAAAGACACTGAAGTTCTGTGTCTTTCTTATCTTTTTTGGAATATTTTCCTGTGTTCTGCCTGACCTGGTGCAATGCCAGGTCTCCCCTGCCTTCAGTGCGGAGCTGTGTCCTGTTTTTCCAGACGCATCCTTGCCCCAGTCTCGCTGAGGTGGGAGCGCTCTGCCCAAACCTGCCACCAGTGCAGTTTCAGGAGCTCTGGCACAAAAAAAATCCCTGGGCGGATTTTGCAAATCCCGGTTTGGTATTCAGCGAGGTGTAACATCTGCTGTGATCAATATTTTAAAGCGAGTCTGTCTGATTAAAAAGTTAGTCGAGCCTTTAGCTTCACTCTGTGACTAGCTGAATAATTCACGGCAGTGGCTCTAGCTGCTGTTTAAGCTCCTCGCGTTTGGGATAAGCAGCAAATCTGTGGTAACCGCAGAGAGCAGCACGGGTGGCTCCCGGGTCCTGCAGGATGGGAGCTCAGGAGGTTTGTGCTGTTTGCTGAGGTCTGCTGGAGCCAGGGCTGGAAAAACAGCGCTCTCCCCTCCCTTTTTACAGGTATTCCTTATGCTGATGTGACTGGTTTGCCATAGCGGTCGGCGCAGGAATTAAACTCCGCTTTTACAAGAAGAGCGGGAGCTGCGTGTGCAGGGGGGGATGCCCCAAAGGTGAAGGCAAAGGAGCACGGCGGCAGCGCCGGGAAAGGGGAGGATGTTTGTGCAGAAGCCCCAGGCCGGCCTCAACGACGGCTGCGGGCAGCGGGGTGA